TGACTGTTGTGTGGCAGTGACCACTACGAGGATGATGAAGACTGGCGGTATGGGCCTTTGGGCAGAGCTGGCAGTTTGGCTGCATGTGTACATCTCTGTCTCAGAGTTGTTCTGAGATGCCGGCCGTGCCCAGCATGTAAGGCGTGATGAAAGACGAGGAGCCTGCAGATCCCATATCATCTGGAAGCTCGAAAACGGAGGTGTCGCTTCTGGACATGAGAGACGGGAAATTCTCGACCAGTTTCCATTCGATGCCCGCTGCCACGATGTCGGGCAGGTGTGCACAGACGCGTCTGCGGAACCCCTCCGGCACGAGGAGGCCCTAATCATGGCTACGAGCTGGTCACCAGGCCATTTCATGTCTGGCAAGTGGGTCAGAGATGGTGCAGGTGCGACCCCGCACGATCTGGGCATACTGGGCACAGGGCCACGAGCCCCTTGCTCTGGTGTAGCTGCATGTCCTGGTGCTTGCTGCAAGACCTTTCAGAGAGTCGCCATGCGCGTCATTATGCAGAAGTTCTGCGTAGAAACTTGTACGTAGCCGGATCGCACTGCTCCGATGTGGTAATGGAAAGCCACGAGGCAGATGCCGGAATTTTTCCGAATGTGCGTGGACACTTGGCAGCGAGTCAACCCACACTGGGATGCCACTTGGCTTCAGGCTCGACCAAATCACAATCAAATAGATACCTTGCCATGGGCAGGAGCCGGGAGTGTGCGCCGACGCGCTTGTGGGTGGTGTGCTGCGCAGCGATCCGGGTAGAGATGAAACCATGCAGCTGACGAGGTGCGAATTTTGCAGAAGTCGACGGTCATGGAGCATCTTAGCACATTTTGGCTGGGATTCCATTCCAGCCGTAAGCTCTGGGTGGAGGTCTGCGTTCCGTGCGTGCAGGTTTGATGTCACGGCCAGAATTTCTGAACATGAGTGCGGACACCTGCGCTCTGAGGTATCTGACCGAGGACGAGCTGCCCAACCGGTTTATGGATATGACCTCGCACCAGACAGCGACTTGCCCAGTACGAACTCCAACAAATGCAGTCGTGGTTGTCGGACTGAAGATCAGGCTTCTGATGCAGTGCGGCTGGGCGTGCTTTGCCGCTATGGGGGTGCTTCTCGACAACATGGGACACTAGAGGATTCACAAGGGCTGTTTTCCTATTCCTGCTTGGGGTTCGAAAGCCTCCTCAGGTGGCTTCATGGTGCATACTAGGTTTGAGTGACTACGTATGCCAATGCCTCGTGCCGCATGACCCCTGGGCCAGGTAGCTAAGCTGGCTAGCCTTCATGACTCTGCACGCTTCGAGGTGTGGATGGATGTGAACATCTTGGTCTGTGGCAGTCTGGACAAGCTGTGCTGGAATGCCATATCGTGGGGGCAGAAGCCGGCATGCGCATCTCGCCGCCGTTTGAGAGCGCATCATACCTCTTGTTTACATGTTTTTTTTTCCGCATGCTTCTCCATGTCTGTCAAGTCGCAGGTTTTCTACCACCCTTCTTATGGAACTGAAGCTCTTGGAGGTCGCGACTTCGTCGAGAGTCCACTGGCCAAAGTTTGGAGGTTCGAGGTGTCAGACCCTGCGATGACCATGTGGCCATGCTGCTGCTTGAGCACGAAGGATCACGAAATATCACGAAGGTTTCTTAAGGCGGTCTTTCCAAATGTTCCTGTGACACGGGGGCCCTGACAAAACGGGGACAAGCACATGCCCCGTTCCTCCCCGGGAAGGAGGAGGGCCCCTGTTTTGCAGCTTGAGCACCACGCAGACTCTACGGAGTGGAAGTTGAAGCCAACGTGCCGGGGAACTTCACGAGAAAGCTCGTCGCAGTCTAGCTGAGTCTATAACGGCACCTGTACCGAGATTCAGGTTGGTTTCTCGCAACCGGACCACGCAATCCGTTTTTCATCCGCTGGAGAGACATCTTCAAGGACGTTCAGGGCCCAATTTGAAGGAAATGCCGGAGTGAAGAAGTAAACTAGCTTTCGCGCCATCCATCGGTGTGGAATGTGGCTGTTTCTTGGAGGTCAGCCTTTCCGTGTGGTGCGCCTTTTCGATGGTTTCTTCGTGCTCGGCGCGTGTCGTGCAGGAGCTGTTTCACGACCGCCTGGACATAAAAGGATTGTTGAGCCATCCTTTCTACAAGGTGCGGAGATTCAGTTTTCTCAAGTTTTGCAGACATGGATTGTTGGAGTTGGGTCGAATCTCAGCACCCCCATACCAAGCAGGGCTTGGACCTCTCTGGCTTCGAAAAGCTGAACAACGATTTCAGTGGGTCAGGACATCGGCTTCGTGGCTTTGTGATGCCTTCACATACAGCGGCCGACAGGGATAGAGGAGCTTGACAGTCTTGGCAGGCATGGAGTTTCGAGAATACCTCGCTATCCATGCCATGTGCGGCTTGAGTCAATTGGTGCCTGGACAGGGCTTGTTTGCACATGGCAGATCCGTTTCCCTGTTTAAGTTTTCAGAAGCATGCAGTTGCGACGTGGCTTAGGCCATCGACTGCTGGAGACGGAGCCGGAGGCACGCCGCCTTTGGCGTGATCGATTCATCCAGGCCATGGCTCGAGGTAGACATGTGATGACATGTGACATGTGATATCACATCTATGGATCTCCATAGGACCATAAGATCTTGAACAAGTCAACAGGTGAATGCCGCTGACACAGCACCCTGGCCGCGATCATGTGTCCAACTTGGTTTGTGTGGATACTCGTGATTGTCAGATTGGCGCGGTCACCGACCTGAATGATTGTGTGCCAGGCTACTTGATTGAATACCCCAAGCAGCCCAGGCATTCAGACTGCAGATGGTGGCTCAGGCCAGCAACCTCCACATGGCGCAGGTGGCTGGGGCTCGAGGTGTTCAACTGCAAGCACAAATGCTTAGAGGGCGCCGATGATGCGAGGTTCTCCTGCTGGAGGATGGGCGTGCGGAGCAGCTCATCGAGGGAGTGCCGTGCTCCGTCTTGAGCGGTTTCGAAGCGGGATCTCAAACACTTGCAAGAGTCGGCCATCTACGGAAGAAGTGGAAGTCCGGGGCAGTTTTGTCGGGGGGGGGGGGTACTAAACGACGTGTAAGCCGCACAGGCTTCAGCGATGTGTCATCCAACGGACCAAAACTAAGGCAAAGTACAGAGTCAGGAGATTCATGTCCGTCAATGCTGTCAGCTGCAGCACATGCCCTGTCATGCCCTGTCGTGTGTCCGAGGTTGATCAAATTTCGCACGCCTGACTATGGCCCCTTGCTGCAGCTGTCAGCTTCCCAGCTGAAGGACCGGAGCTGAGCAGGACGGTGCATGCCTGGTCCTGTCGTCGCAGAATTTGGTGCTGAAGCAGGACGGAAAGCATCTCCTGGGCCGCCTACTGGATCCGCGGGATGCCGCAGAGGTGGATCGTGTCAATGGAGAGAACCACGGAGTGCCACGAGTCTCTGACATGTCAGGCGATGCGTCAGCCGGTAGCAGCCCGGGCGGCCTTCAGACACTTGGCGACACTTGCGGATTCCGCGCCTCAATGAGTGTTGTCGTTAGCTTTACGGAAACTTCACGCTGACATCAAGAGCGTGATCGCCCAAAGCCTGCTAGATGCCGAGAAATCACGGGGGTTAGCCTGTCTCAATTGCTTCTGAGGCTCAGTACCGCGATTGGGTGGGCGGCGGCATTTGGCCACTGCCTCGGAGCTTTTCACGCGTGTATTGCAGTGAAACCATCTAGCTGGTTGGTATGGTCTTGTCGCAGGTTACCGCCAGCCTTGCGGCGGTCTTATGCAGGCAGCCGGTTTTCTTGGATCACACGGCTGCCTTTTGCCGTTGGGCTTGCAGAATGTTTGATCTAGGCAGTTGCTTGTCTAGCCTTGCCCCGTACTTCTCTCTGACCCTGTACAGGGCAATACCGGCCTCCTCGCTGGCCTGCAAGGAGTTTGCAGGCTTTGGGCCAGGATGCGTGTAGAGCATGGGCATGAGTTCTCCGGACTGCGCATGCTTTTCCCACAGCATCTGCAGCCTTGAGCCTGCTCGGAGGCATTTCGTCCCCAGCTCGAGGAGCATGGCATGCCCGACAAGGGGTTCCGTTCCTGCGGCCAAGGCGGACGATGATACCCTACTGTAGAGTCTGGAACAGATTGTTTCCTAGTTGGAAGATGTTGAACTTACGGGTTCCAGCAGACCAAGCGTCTCTCCCCCAACAAAGCAAATCCAAGCCTGCCCTCTGCAGAAGAAGCTGATAGAAGCTGCCAACCTCGGCACCTATATAGTCTGGGCTGTTTGCTTGCAGCATCCCGGAGGCCAGTGATCCCCGCCTTGGGGAGGCATCGATGCGGCTGATGCCGTGGAAGAGATCGGAGGAGGTTCGCCGGTAAACTCGGCCCATCCCACGAGTTTTGATGAGTGTGTTGTGCGAGGTCTTGGCCTGCATGTCACTGTTGCTGAGTGTGGAAGGATGTGGGACATATAGACTGTTGCCACAGTGTTGAACCCTTGATTGGTGAATGACATGAAGTGTCTCGCCACGATGAGCTTGAAGGCACTTCGCGGTTTGCGGCTGCCGCCTGACCGCTGGCATGTTCGCGATGCTGAAAATGCTTTTGATCGAGCTGCAGATCTGTTCGCTTGCTGCTGCCACAGCTTTGCTGCCTGTTGTACGTACGTTATGTCTTCATCCGCAAATAATCTTCCACTCTAACGGTTCTAAGGCCAAGATAGATATTTCAACTGGTCGTCCAGGATGGAGCATGCTGTAGCCGATGTCTTGCGGTCGAGAACTCTGAAAACGTCTGACTCGACACCTTCCATAAATTGTCCAGCCCATCGAAGTGCTGCATTTGATTGTTATGTTTTCGGGCCATAGGATGATCCTTGCTTAGTTTGCATGCCCGCCGAAGAGTCGCGCCAGCTAGTATGCAGAGAAAGCCGTTCCACAACAGTCACGGCGTGGTTTTTGTGCGAACGCTTGGCAGAAGCTTTCAAGGCCTAAGCTGACGGCTTCGCATTCTGTGCAGGCTTGGGCAGCAAGTGCAGGTCGTCGTTGTGGTCCCGAGGCAGCTGCACAGGCAAGGCACACATCTTCCGCGATTCCATCCCAAGAGTGCCAAGTCGACCTTCAACGGCTTTAGTTTTAGCCTTTGCAGGCAGGTTGTTTTCAGCACATTTCAGGCTGCGCTCCAACAGAACGTGACCGCCATCCAGGCTAAGCTCTGCACAGAGCAGGCGCTCTCAGCTAGGGTTTTGTGCTGTTTGATGCTTGAGCATTCCGCCTTATTCCGCCGATGTCAGTAAGGATTGCCCATATGACTCCGGAGCGCATGCAAAGGGTCCAGAACATCGTGGGGTCTGAGAGACAGGCCGCACTTCGGTCAACGCAGACAGAGCTGCAGAAGACAGAGGCGCCAGTCAGATAATATCCTGTTCCATTCCTGGTCAACAGGGCCACAGAGTGCAAGCACCGGGTGTCACGTTTCAACAGGGAGTCCATCGCTTGAGCCAGTCTTGCAGTCAGCAATCTTGGTGGTGAAGGGGCCTCATCAGTGTTGAGTTTCTTCGCCAAGCCGAAAGCGCAAGGTTCAGGGGGGGTCGAAGACTGACTGAACCGAAGCTTGGTGCTCTGCCATGACGCAGTTGATTGGGCTTAAGCCGTGCTCAGGAAGCTATACGGCAGGAAGGGGAGACAGCGTACATGTCACGGCTTTGCTTCTCCGCTAGTCACAACTACGAAAGTACGTGGCCACATGGATCAAGCATTGTCAACGCACTTCACTAAAACATCAGTCTGCCCTCTATCACCCACCCGCTGCAGAGATGTCTGTGGGTGAACCATTGCAGAGATGCCTTGTGGTTGCATCAGCTTGCAGCATGCGGTAGCAACGTGCTCGTAGTCGTTGTTTGCTGGTGTCTCTATCACGAATGATGTCACCGCACGCGTTTCATCGAGGTTTGGGCGACCTGAGCAAGCACATCGACGTTCTAGTCTCGCAGAACGCGGCAATGCGGAAAGAAATTCAGAAGCTGTCTCGCGGCCGCAATCATGACGTTGGATCGCCGCGAGCTTTTGGGTGGTGGGTCATTTGGTCGGAACTCGCAGCAGACAGCCGCGATAGGGCTTGCATAGGAATGCCCGGCGCAACTTCAACGTCTTAGTTTCTTGCTGGTTGACAGCGTTTCCCGTTGAGGGCTGAGTCGTTGGAGGTCAGGGAAACTCGACCTCCAACAAGCTGAAGACCAGCGCCACTCGGAGTCAGATGAGACTTGCTTTCTGCTCTTGTACAACATCACGAGCTTTCACGCAACGATAAGAGGGTGTGCTGTCGATGTTGGCCTTGGTGATATTGCTGCCTTGCGTTGGAGTAACTGAGTAGCTATGCAAGCAAGGTGCAAATCTCATGGGTTGGAGCCTTTCTCTTGACAGCTTCCTCACTTCTTGTTGAGCACTAGGAATGGAGCTGCTCGGCGTTGTTCCGGATGCGAAGCACGAGAAAGAGGCCGGTAACTAGACATCGTGTCTTGTCATCCTGCAGAACAGATCTCGAGAGGAAGCCTCGGGGTGGAGCGAGAACCTTATATGTAGCTTCACAAGTTCTGATGCGCTGTTTGAATTAACCCGCATCCCTTGAATTTTTCCGTTCTCAACATATCTCAACGCTTGCCGCCGCAGATGACTGAAAGGGAACCTTTTCCTGTCGGAAACCTGGAACACCGAGTACATATCGCATTTCATGTTGGCGGATGCAGTGCCCAAGCGTTTCTCAGGTGTCTGTGAAGCCGCCACCTGTGACGGAGGCTTCTTGGCCGGATTGAAACCTGCTGCCAGACTTTTCTCTGAGACCGCCGAGCGCCACGCAGTGTCCATTAGGTTGCTATGCTAGGCTCTGCGTTCTGTTTGTCTTCCTTCCATGTACACTGGCAATCTCCAGCGCAGTCGATCGGACGTCCGAGCCTTCAAAAATCCTAAGCCACGAGCCTTCGCAAAGGGTGTCCAAGTTTCGGTGCTCAGAGATAGGCGCCATGACGACATGCATGCACACATACATGCGTGTAAGTCACGGGCAAATGCCAATGCGTAGACGAACAAGGTCATTGGCTAGTCATACACAGAATACTGGCTGATTTCAGCAAAGTCGGAAGGACATTCGGGCGACTGCGACATAAATATGCTTGCACGAGTCGGTAGTTGCTTCTAGATGCACAGGGTGCGTTGTGAGGTTGAGCCACCGCCGAGCGAGTTAGCCAAGAAGCGGGCGGAAACCGAGGCATGCCGTGGCTGTGGGTCAGACTTTGGTGGTTGATGTTGCTTGCAGCTTTTGTTGGTATCAGGTTTTTGTACTTGCGTCAATCTCGGCTCCGAGTCCTTTCTAACCGTTGCAAGATGCTGACTGACATCTGCCTCTGGGCAGACGCCAAGTTCGGAAGCCTGGCCTAACGAGGAAGTCGACGAAGCATCTCTGTGCATTTCAACAAATGCCAGGCATTCCAGCCTCAGCTGTCTTGGGGCCTTGATGAGAACACCTCTTCTTGGGCCCCTCGTCGACAGTATGGGCACTTCATCTTTCGGGTGCGGCATGGGGTTGACAGAAATACCAGATTCATCCAAAAATTTCAAGGATGCCACGAAAATTCATGGAACCCCTACGATCCACGACCCCGCGGCTGCGTCGGCCTTTGCTACCCAGGTGAAGAGCCTCAAGGCCATGGCCTTGCGGGGTCAATTCGCGGGAGAGCTTGCGTGGGGAAACTGGCAGTTTCCAGCCGCCATTGCCGGTGCGTGCAGCTCAGGGCCATTGTTGCGTGTCAAAGTTATCACGAGTACTAGAACACTAGAATCTTTTACTGGAAGATGCTAGACACCCAACTTGCTGGAAGCTTGCCACTTGTCAGGGCGCTGGCGGCATGCTGGGAGCAGCGCGCTTGGGCCAGCTGCTCTTCGACCTAACTTGACCCGACCTGCACTTTGTTTTTGCTGTCCTGCGGGTGATTTCCTACATAGCAAAGCTACCACAGCTACCCTGCACCAGTTGCGATATGAGCATTCAAGAGGCATTGGGTGAGCCATCCATCGTGTCTCTATAAAGAGCAGATCTTGCCCTCACATACCAGCAACCTGCCCGCAACGCAGAAAACGGCCGCCAACGGCGTCTCCAGACCACGCTCCGCTGGAGAGCCACTTGGACAAGTGAGGGATGCGGCTGGGAGATATCAGCAGAAGTGATTCGGGCCTGGCTCAGCTTTGGTGAAGGATCCATCCAACGTTTCGCTTCTGATTAACATCTTAACTTCTTTTCAGACCTGCCGATGTGTATACACCCTTCGGCAGAACTTGCCTACCGAGATTGGACAGACAGCCAGTGATTCCGCATTAGTTGAAGCGCAGTTAGTCCCGTCAGACAGACTTGAAAGATACAGACACCCAGACATGGAGTCGATTTCTGGCCGGTCACATTGTGAGTCAAGCGAGACGACAAGGCTTCAGGGAGCTCTTCCACTGGATCACGGAGATGGGTGGTGTCAGCCGGGGGAAAGACGAGCCTTTGATCACTGCTTTCTGCAACAGCATCTTGGCAAGGTCGTATGAAAGTAGACCTTGGTCATGTGCAGCTTGCCGCAGCTTGCCAGGCTCCCTCTTCAAGTCACTTTGCACCTTGGCGATCATGGCCAACACGGTGTATCTGGGAGTGGCTGCAGACAATGCCGTCAGGGCAAGCAGCTTGGCCCTGTTTGGCTGGCATGGGCTGTTGAGCTGGTCCAGGTATGTGCAGGCTCAGAAACATGGTTCCATGCTAGGCAAGCCTCCTGTTCAGCTCTGGAAATGTTCGGAGTCGGGGTCGAAGAGGGCTTTTTGTCTTCCTCGGTGCCCAAGGCTACGACCGCATCCTGGGCAAGGAGGTTTCCACTGTCGACCGAACGCCTGAAATCGTCTTTACGGCCTGGTGGCATAGCAAGTCGGGAGGGGTCGGGGTGCTGAAACAGAGGGACGAAGATCCAAATGATCCTTTGTTGTCCGCGCTACCCCACGAGAAGCTGGTGCGCACTTGCACTGGCTGCTCCAGCTCAATGAAAGACGCGTAATACTGTACCACGCATAGTACTCTGGCGCAGGTCTGGTTCTCCATCGAAATCCTTGTGAATTGTGCAGGCTTCGGCTGGAGCAGCTTGGTTCCAACATTTATTATTTATATATATGTATATGCACACACACACACACACGCATTTTGATGAATAGCCATGTGACTTTCCTTTCCGTTGCTGTGCCACCAGTTGCAGGCTTCTTGACTGGTCCATCCCGGCTATTCAACATTTTTGACGTGGTCCTTGTCGTCAACTCGAAGCTTCGGACAAAGTTGGCTCTGCATGGTAGAGTTGGCATCTCTCGGCTTGCTTGCCCCTTGGGCCCGTTCCTCCCAGTGGGGCATGGGGCACTTGCGGGGCTCCAACTAGCTTACCCAAAGATGTCAAAGACTGTGCTTGGCTTGGGTGCTTTAGTCCGGGCATCCTGGCCCAGCCTTCGCACAGGATTGTGGAGCTAACCTTGGCAGACAATGCGCCCAACGGGCTGAATTTGCCTTGGCCTTAAGATGTCTGAGCCAGAGCTGGAGGTGGTGAACTTTGGAAAGGAGGGTTCGTCGTGGGATGTCCAAAGAACTAACGGGGGTCGAAGTGTTCGCCTGATTCAGCTCGGTACTTCCGTTGCAGCCGATTTGGCGACTCCTTGCCGGATGCCAAGCCCGTGGTGACTCGCTAGCGATGACCGCCTACCTGGGATGACAGCCCCCCATGGTTGCAAGATCTCTTCCGGTGACCGGTTGGGAGAAGCATATACCCGAAACGAGGTCCTTCCTGCGCATCTTCCGCGTCTTCCGTCTCATACGAGTGGTGCGGCTAGTGCGGACCTTGCGCAGTGCCGAGGTTGCAATGAGGATATCACATCGCATGTGGATTGCAGATTTTTCTTCATAGCAACCCACGACGGACATAGGGTTGGACGTGACAAGGTCTGCGCAGTTTGAGGACGATGCTTTTCTCCATCATCTCGCAGCTTGCTGTTTCATGGGACCCGTTGGACTGCACAGCGTGCACTAGCGACGCTGCAGTGTCCAGTGCTGTGGGTGATTTTCTTGTGCTTGTGGCCTTCGACCAGTGAAGGATAGTGAAGCTGCCAGAAGACTCTGGCAGACTGCTGAGCTCAGGTCCATTGGAGCTTTGTTCTGGGCATTTGTCATGCTGCTGTTGACGATGTTCATGTTGCCCGGGCGGACATATCAGTTGCGGTTTGTGGAAATGCTGGGTGCATCGTCACAGACAAGATTCTGTCCTGCCATCTGTTGCTTGCCAGGTTTAGCATAATCTTTGGTAACGGGATATCTCTGTACTTCGACGAGCTGAACACTAACGACCTTGACAAGGCACGGAATGGCACGACACATGCCCACGAGACAAGTGTGGCATGCTTCCCAACGAAAGGTTGAGAATGCTCGCAAAGTCTATGCGCCTTCTCTGGAATCTGCAGATGCTTTTTAAGAGCAGTGGCTTTAGACTCTCACAAGCTTGGCCCATCTGGTCACGTGCCTTCACCAACCAGCCGCAGATTGCACATGTGTTTTGGAAGTGAGCCGAGGAGTATTTTGGAGGAACTTACGAAACGCTAGTTTCTTGGCCATCGGAATGCTCGGACATTCGGTTCTACAGAACTATACACCTACGGAGTAGCTTTCCGTTTGCTTTTCGGTGTTTCTTTCGCAGCCGCGTATCGCGTTCAGGGCCGTCTTTGGCTGCCTCTCCCATGGTCCAACTTGAGGTTAGCCTTTTCTGCTCCGTTTCTGGGGGCAACGACTGGATGACGTACGGGGAAACCCTTCGGTTGGGGCCGCTTGGCAAAGTTCAGAGCCGCTTCGGCAGAGCCATCGGCTCGCCTCCGAGGCCAGGCGAGGTGTACTTCGTGCTGTTCGCTGGGCCCTCAGTTCTCATTCGCAGCCAGCAGTTCTTGCAGTTTAAACGTTCCAAAAGACAAGCGCTGTGCTCGACTAAGTTCATCAAAGACTTCCGTGCAGAAGTTAGTACAAGCCACTCAGACTGTAGCTCTTCCAATGCTGCAATCTTTACACCGGAAATAGGAGAGACTGCAAAGCGCCGTTTGCTCGGGTCTGCCTCCGCCAGGTGTTCTACATCTTCTTTACATTAGTTGGCCTGCTGAACGTGGTGACAGGTGACTCAGAAAGGTTATAGAGTCCAGAGCTTGTTGTTGGACAATGTTGTGCGCAATGTTTCCCATGCTTTCGGTTGCTTTTGACAGTGGATGGCTCACTAAGGTATTTTTGTCGATTCGGCAGTGTGCACGCGGACGGAGGATGAGGTGTTCCGCTGACTGCATGCAATAGGTAAGAATAGGCATACCCTTTGTGAGGGCAAGAGCGGTTGGGGGGAGGTGATGTGCAGTGCCAGATCTCCGTTAAGCGACGCTCGTGCACAAGCGCAACACTGCACATCCCAATCTTGTTCTATCGTGGCTGTTCGCAGGTCGTGGAAAGCTTCACCGAGGAGCAGAAGCGTTTGTGTGGCATCTTGGCTTACGGCAGAAACGCTAGTTGTGGTTTCAAGCTTGCAGTTTAGTTTCCTCTCGATGGTTCCTCTTTGTTTTTCGGAGCTTCAGCCGGGCGAGTAGGTCCTCAGCATACCTTGAGCGAAGGTGAGATGCGCCGGATTTTCGCGTCTGCAGACATGGATGGGCCACTGTCCCGGAGTGCCACGAGAGTTGGACTTCATGAAGTTGTACTGTCAAGCAGTTCCCGGATGTGCTTACTGTCTGCCTACAGGAATGGCTGCATTACATTTGAGGACAGCGACCCAGCAGCTGCTGCCGGTTTGTAGAAGGGCTCTCGGCCCCCGCGACGCTTCCCAGCTGACTGCGATACCGTGCTCTGAACTTCTCGTGCATGAAGTCCTCTGGCACCCCTGCGCAGGAATTCTGCAATCACGTGGAGGATCCTTGGGTGCCGCTGCCAATCCCAGATGCTCTAAGTCAACCCATTGGTGGCTGTTGTTTGCAGAGATACAACAGGCTCCGGAGGCTCAGGTGGATTGCTGGTGCGGGTAGCCGTTTTTCTGAGCTGCAAACTTCTGTCCGCACATCTAAACGTCCGGAGCCTTTAACTTTGGCGCGAGCACAGGTGCAAGCTTTCCTCTCTGGTTTGGACATCGATATTTCTGACGCGCGGATAGTCTTCACGCTGCTGGATGTGGCGACTTTGATTCAAGGGTTCCAGGTTAACGGGGCACTTCGAGGGGTGCCTCGTTTGATTAGTTTGTTTCGACTTGAACCTTTCGCTTATCAAAAAATGCCATGACTAGCACGACGGCATTCTGATATGCTTTGGTGAACGTACGCAACCAAAGCCAAGGATGGCAGTGGGTCATTGACGGTGGAGGACGAAAGTGCTGCTGTGTCTGCTGGCCTCCTCGCTAAAATTCTTGCGGCAGTTCAATCACTGCATCTGGTATTGCGAAGAGGACACTTGACTTTCCTTCGTGTCGCGTGAGTTTATCAGGAGTTTGTGGACGGCGCTATGAAGCTGAAAGGTCCAGCCAAAGGTATCGAACCTTCGCATCCAGATGAGATCGTTTTTGACAGGTGCAGACGGTTCAGAGATTTGAGACGAGGCAGAGAGCAGCAGTTGAGACTCACATCTGACCCATGCTGAAGTTCGGGACATTCGTGTATATTGGAACGATAGCAGTTTTCGAAATGCAAGGCTGGATAGCCACTCACGAGCCGCATGACGATCTGTTCCTGAGGATATGCTTGCGGTCATGTTCGACCTCGTCCGGTACAGCTTGAGGCAGCTGGCCAGTGTCAGCAGTTTAGGGCAGCCAAGGGGACGGACTACACATGCCAAACACTCCTATAGTTCGTTCGTAGTCTGCCCGAACCCTGCTCATTAGCAGAGCCGTCGTCTTTCCAGGTTTTCGGATCTCTGCAATTTCCTCGAGGAACAGACCGGGCAAATCAAGGACCGATGCCTGGCACAGGTGTGGTCCAGAGTTCCAGAGCTGCAGAGCTTGGGACAGGCCGCATCTCCGAGTCGGCCTTGATGAGACGTAGTGCAATTTTTCGGATGCTGGCACAGGATCTCCTCTCGAAGAATTCCTCACACGGTCCATCCCGATACAGGACGGGTGTGTTTAGGAGCAGCAGAATGGCGAATTTCTGGGCCTCGGATCCGGAACGCGTGCCGCTCCTGAAGATTCCCGATGTTGCTCGACTCCTCGAACCCCTGAGAGCCCTAGGGTCGGCGATTCGCATGTGTGAGTCGTCCAGCATGTTGACGACTGGCTTTCGGAAGAGCTGAGGAAGAGGGTCCCAATACGTCCTAATCCGGACAGTATTGAAACTGTAGCCCCAATCCTATTTGGGCTCCAGGACGGCTGAAGAAGAACTTGCACATCTCTCGCAGCTTGGCTTTTTGGGCTGGTACAGGGGCAAGTCAACAAGTGGATCCCATCGCCAAGGCGGGTCACGAACCGCAAGATGCAAGAAGTGACGATGCCGAGCTTGAGGAGCTCCTGGGATTGCACTCAGTCGGGCCTGAAAGTGGCAGAGCAAGTCGGACCAGGCAGTGACTGTTACTTGGCACCCTGACTGTGCATAGCGGTAGTCGTTGCCTCCTGTCTCAGGAGTACCAGATTCTAAATGTGACATCATCATGCTCGACCCTGTGCCAGTGTAAATAACGAAGGCTTCTTAGACCAGGCTTTCATTCATTGTCTGCATTCAGGCATCGAGTCGACTCCAGCAGAGGCGATCGAAGATGTTGTGTCAATGTTGCCAAGCGCAGTGAAATAGAGCCCTTCCGTAGTGTCGAAGCCAAGCTGATGACCATAGGGCGTACATGGGGCTGGTCACTTTTTTTCTGGATCCGCAGTGTCCAGCCCAACGCTGGCAACGACGGAGTGTGCACTCACACTCACCTGTTTTTTAGGGCTCCCAAAGAGCTGACCAGTTGCGCTGGGATGAGCCCGGGACACCAAGACCGACTTTGTAGTGATATTGGCTTGCGCTTAACTTCGCAGTGCACATGGGAGGTGGCCACGCCATGCCGTGCGTTTTCTTGGTTCCCCGGCGCTCACCTCTGCTTGCGATTCTACGAGGGCCTAGACGACCCGGTAGACTTTAAGAAGGCAGCGGGGCAGGGAGTATTACATCCGAAAGTGCCGGCTGAAGCACAGGTACATGCTCAGATTCTATTCCAGGCGAGCTTTTCCTGTGGCTCTGCATATCTGAAGAGAGGATCTTGGGCAGCGCCAGGAGACGACGCAGAGTAGATGCATAGTTTTTTTTGCATTGGGCCCAAAGTGATCTCAGGCAGTCTCCTTTTTTTCTGGCTCCTGCAAGCAGATTATCTTCCAAGCATCGCTTCTCAAAAGAGGGCACGGCAAAGAAGCTCCGAGCAGAAGCAAATGCTGTTGGTTCAACTATGTCAACCATTCTGCTGAATCAACTTCTTGCTGTGGGGCCTTGCGCCGTGCGATGGAGAGATGCTCACAAAGCGGCCGACATTTGACGTTTGGTTCATGTTGTCCCACAACAGACCCACAACAACCTGCAGTGCAGGCACAATGATTCGGGCATTGTTCCGCTGTCGATTTCTCGTGGCACCTGCCAAGCAGGTCCGAAACGGCTGTTTAGACTGGGCTCACAGCACTGGGCAGTATTACTGCAGCATTAGCAAGCTTCCAGTGAGTATAGCAAGACCAGAGTGACTGCCCAGCTCCCGGAGATCGTGTTATCGAGTTTTACGGTGCATGCCATCCTGCGTGGCACAACTCCGCACGGAGTATGCCGCATGAGCAACATGACAAGCAGAACGGCATTCTTCGGTCTTAGCGCGGCAAAATGAGGGAGCGCCGCTCATGTCCCGACCTTCCAGCAAAAACGCGAATGCAGGCGAGATTGTTTAGCATTGGTTGGCCCAAATGACTTCAGCTGCTTTGCATGCATTGATCCTCGTCCTGGGTTGGGCGGGGGGGGGGGCAGGGCGGCCAAACAATTGGCACAGGGTTTCCCATGATCAGACTCAGCCTTCGTTTTTGTGGCGAATTTTCCTCCGCAGGCAGCTGTTGTTGCTCTGCAGAGCATGGACCCCGGCCATGCAAACGAGGGTGATTACATTTGGTATGCTAAAATGCTGCCGAGGTTTTTGTTATCATGTTGCTGCTGTTGAGGCAGCAGTGCAGAGGAATGCGCCACTTTGCGCTCCAGGCTTTCAAGTTTACAGCCTCTCGAGATAGTTGTAGTGATTTTTTGTGAGTTCTGAATGTAGCAGGCTGGAGCATGTAATCATGGCGGCGAAGGCCTGTGCCTCAGGCCGCGGCCGTCACACTAGACTCGGGCCGTTTGGTGTTGGTGTTTGCGCCAAGGCCGCTGAAGCCCGTCCTCCACGGCTGCGGGTAGGAAGCTAAGAGACAGCTTTGCAGCTGAATTCACGGGACAATCGGCATAACGGGTTATAACGGTGTGACACGTTGGACATGCAGTGTTGCGACGTGAAAGACATTTGAGGTTGGCATGAACATGGTCGCTCACACAATGGCGAAGGAGGCTTGGACTAGATTCACACACGCACACATGCACATGATGCAGTTTCCTGCTTTCACGCATGTCATGCCTGGCACATCACAGCATAACAAATATCTAACTGTCCCGTACAGGGAACCATTGTGGAACTAGACCGGCCATTTCCAGATGCCTTTGACTGGTCAGGAAGATGTCGCCCGGCATGGTCCTCGGACAATCGTGGCGTGTGTGTGTGTGTGTGTGCTATTGGCCATCCTACTTCGTGACAGAGTCATGATTAGAGATTCCGTGACTGGCTTCACAATTGTTTCCTGGGTTTGGTGGATGGAGTTGCACGTTGGCGGCAGAGGTATGCAGAAGTTGCCTCGCTTGCAAAGCATACAAGGGATGTTCTTACTCGGTTACCCTTTGTGGCTGCAGGCTTCACGCACGTTACTGCGAGGAAGCGTAGTGCCCTCGGATTGTGACATCAGTTCTAAAGTTGATCATCGGGAACGGAATCGTAAACGTCACTCACACATGTGGTTCTGGGGATGCTTCCGTATGACAGTTGTTATGCCCTCAGCATCGTACCGATCCTTGTTCAAGATGATTGTGCTATGCCGAGTTGCATCCGCTTTGTTTGGGCGATGCCGCCGGCTCAAGAAGCCCTTGAAGGTTAGATTTTCCTGTCTCTTTTTTCGACGAAGATGGAAGCCGACCCGCCGACACTTGGAAACTGTTGCCATTCTTGTTGGTGCTAACATAGGAGGAGTGCCTTCTCGCCCCGCTCACAGGCTCACACAGATTGAAGGTTTGCATGACATCGTTAAGTTTCGTTACATCGCCGTCCAAACAGAAAACCAGAGAGCGTTCACAGCATGTACCTGCATGTCACATGTCCTCCACAATGAGGGATGCTTCTCGCGACTGTTACAAGGACGGATCGGGTCCGGCTCACATTGGCAGTGGCACCCGTCGATGACCAGGTGCAAGAGAGAGAGGGAATCAGCAGCTGGCAGCAGATTGCCCCAGTTTCGCTAGATTAGACGGCCATATCTCAGCCTTGACAGAGTCTTCACTGTCTTCATGGCTTAGCCAGCTCAGCCGACAGGATGGGCGAAGCAACTCTGCACGCTGCTTTGCCAAGAATGGTCCGTCCATGCCCCTGTAGCCTGCCTCTGTGGATCCAAGAGCTGTTTGTAGCGAAGAGAGAACTGTCGCCTGAGAATGTTGGCAGAAAAGCTCTCAGGAAGTGACGTGGCCGACGCTGTTGCGGCGCCTTGGCGTTTCCATGTCGGAAAGTTGTGTGTTTTCCCGACAAGGCTTGACGATCATGACGGTCGGGCGATGTCAGTCCCCCTTGCATCGGTAAACTTCAGTATGTCACAGAGGTTCGCAATCTTGGTCAATGTATGGAACTGTTTTGATCACCAAATCTGGGCGCAGCAATCTGTGTGCGGGCCTTGCAGAGGAACTGCGCAGCGACCAGAGGAGTTTAGCTGCATCGCTGAGTGCCGCAATGCAATCTCTACAAGCGCCTTGCCTTGGCTTGGACGGATGGAATTCATAATATATCCATTAGTTGTGTTTCCGCTATGAGGCCACTAGAGTCTCAGGACCCATTGTTTTTCAGACTGCCCTCACAGTTCCGGAGGATACCTGATGATTCCAATCCCTTGTCAACATAAACGCCGACAAACCACCAGTCAGTCCAAATCATTGCGTTGCATCGCGCACCTGTTCGAAAAATGCATCTCCGTTGCTATCTTTGCTACTCAACACATCGTGAGTTTGATTGCTCGATGAAGCTGCATGCAATTCTGGACTAGATGTTAGGTTGGTTTGCTACTGCAGCTGCATTGTTGTAAGAACAGGGAAAAGTTGGTTCACTACAGATAATAACTCATGTTATGGGCTGGAAATGCCGTGACAGACTTCACCCTAAATCTATTTGCCCAGCATCTTCAATCGCGCGAAAGACAGGCTACATCTCGGAGTTTGGTTTTTGCACGGCAAAAACGCTGGATGCTCTTGCTGAGCTCGTGAGCACAGACGTGATGAATTGGGATTACCTTGGGGTTTCTTTCGCCTTAGCAGCTTCCATATTTAGTTTCCGATTCCATCCCCAGTTTGTGCCTTGCGTATGTACATCGAATTAGAAGCTGAGTGGAAGGAGGGATATTGTGACAATTGCCATTCGAAGGCCAGTCACGAGTTGGCGCTCCAGGCGGAACAGATGCAAAGCATTGACAGATTGATGAACGTCCCATGTTGCATGCAAGTCCAGCGTGTGGTGAAGGTCGAGAAATTGAATCAGTGAAGGCAGTGTGCGGTCTTTTGTCAACGCTGCTGGCAGGTCATGACCAAGCATTTTGACATGATATCTCGTGACGACCCGAGTTTGTGACAGCCCGCCGTACAGCTCGGAAGCCGCGGTCTGGTCACGTGTGGTCCAGGTGAGGAGGGATTCGTTCTCGACTTTTCGCCTCACGCTAAGGAGCAAAGGACGAGCTATCGCAGCTTCGGAGCCAGGCATCGCCGGGAAGCCAGGCTGGGGAGACGCTGGCCGAGTGAGTTCCGCCTACAGGCTTGTTTGTTCAAGTCTTGTGATGTTTCAGAGATACTATGAGATACTCAACTCGAGGCAGGGCAGAAGCGACAGCCATCCCAGAGTGGAGCCATGCACTTTGGCGGAGATTGTGCAGCTTGAAAGAGCGCCTGATGTGGACTGCACGTGTTCCAGGGCACGACATCTCCCCTATGTCTGACTCTGACTGACGGTAGTTGTGGATTTGCACGGATTGGTGGTTGCCCTCCGGCTTCTGGCACCTGCTGGTTCCGAGGCACATGACTCCGCCCAGTTTGCTGGGAGCTGTGCCAGACGAGGACAACGATGCTAAGGAGGGTGTGCCGCTGGCTTAGCTTACTTCATGTCGGGCATCAGCGGCACAGCTCCCAGTAGACTTCTTGCGTCAGAGGTCCGGCCTGCGTCCCACTCCAACTTTGCAGCTGCCTTCGCCACGTCGGGACTTAGCGCCCAAGCCAAACTTGACCGGTGTTTTCCCATACTTTAATTTCAGTGAATCTTGTGAACGCGCGTTGCCCGTAGCTGACGGTTCGCAGCACAGAGTGTCCAGGCATACAGTATTTTTCAGCTGTCCATCCAAGCGGTCCAAGCAACCGAGGATCCAGAGTCGAAGCGCAGCCGGAGCACCTTCATCAGGGAAAATGAAGAGGAGGCGAGTTAACCACAGATGCATCGCTTTGGCAGCGCACGGGTTCTTTGTGGGTCAGCCTTCCCTGGTCTCGAAACGTCAGTGGCAGAGGATCGCAGAGGCACCCCTTAGCAGGTCCATCACACCCCGGGCGGCCGCTTCTCGCTGCCGGAGCTGAAAGCGTCGCCTCGCTGGGAGCCGAGCTTTCCGCGCACAGCCGGGGGCTGCCGAGTCAACGTTTTAAAGATGCGTTTTGTCAAGGAAAGGGGTCAGGAACCGAGCCTCGCACACGTTAGCATGGGAAATCTTGCAATCAGTTGTCCTCGGAAGGCATAGCTTTGAGATGCTTTGAGCAGGGGCAGGAGCTTATTGGTTTGAAGAGTCGATCGTCCTTCTGCAAGCTGCCTGCATTCCAGCTGACTCAATTTGCTTTGGGTGCTTTTAGGTGCTCGGCTCAGTGCGGGCATGGCGCGGGCCGCTTGTCAGAACGGGAGATCAGGAGAGGAACGAGGCAGAATCACGGAATCACGCCAGACTGCGCATCCATCTTCAACCCTTCTCTGCCAGACGCATGATTTTTTGTGGCAGTCTTGCTGCTGCCTATCAAGGCGACTCGTGCCAAGAATCAGACTCTTGGCCTTCTTCGGTTGTGCAAGTACCATGAGGGCCTCACAGATAATGAGTTAACAAGCTTGCTTCAGGCTGTGAATGGGAGACCTCACACCAAATAGAGAGACCAATTCCTCAAATAATTCACAATCCATGTTTACCTCAAGCCCTTCAACCCAAAAGCAAGTAAACTTTTAAAATGTGCAGGTAGTAGATCGTTGCTAAATTTGACGCTTGCTTTCTCTTGTGTCTGAACGGTGAGGATTTTGGCGAGGCAGAAGACCGCCAACCTCTTTGTAGACGAGGCATCTTTGCTCGCTGGGTGTAGACGGTGTACACTCTTCGGGGCGCAGGGTTCAAACATTATGAAAAACTTGTTCCTGGCATTTGCCTTTTTGCAGGTTTGTTTCGGGAGACTGGGTGCTGGCATGACACAGGCCTGATGCCAAGAATCCTTTTCCGACTCTTAGCATGGCAAGAAAACACAGTTTGGGAAGTCCACCGGCTTGACAAAATAACACTTTACATCGGAGCCTGTGACTCCATGATCAGTTTCAGGAGGACCTCAAGGCAAAGGTGCGGGCGGCGATTGGAGAGCCGGAGTATGATGCCACTCGCCGTCAGCCATCACTTGTCTAGCCTCTGCTTTTGTTGATATGGGCATAGGGAAGGACAGCAATGAATCTTGAGGAGAGCACGCCGAAGGTGTGATGTTGCAAGCTGGAGCTAGACTTGAGTCACAAGCGGCGTGGATCCAGGGATGTTGCAGACTTGTGCGTTCAGTCGCGTTTCGGCTCCGGTGAGACATTTCGGCCTTCGTGGTTTCGTGCCTCCAATTTTTCTGCCTTCTGTACAGGTTTTGGGCAGAAGCACGTGCATGCTCAGGAAGGCCTTGGTCTTGATGACGGCAGCCGTCCGCGCACAGGGATCTGCCAGCACGGACCCAGGTGCTTTCCTGCAGGCCTTGCCGGGGAGCTGGAAAGGCTTTGCAGTTCAAACTCCATTGGGGCGGATGCCGTACAATCTGGAGTTCAGAGTCCTGGATGACCGCAGCGTCAAGGGCGTCTCGCCTACCAATGGTGTTGCTGTGCATACTTGGAGTTTCAAGGAATCACAGGACAAGGAGGGTCTCCCACAGCTTTCCTTGAACTTCCATTCAACCTTTGGCAACAGCTTTGCCACTGGCTTGGTGGCAACTTCTGTCGATACTGACAAAGGTGTGAAGTTCTCCGGAGGGCAGCCAGAGAAACTGGAAGTTTGGGTGCGGCTGGGCTCGACGCCTTCAGATGAGACGTGGCAGGCAGAAATCCTGCTCGATGGCAACCCGCATGTGAGCATCTCTGCTCTGCGGCCAAGGAAGGCTTGCAGCGGTACTGGTAGCTGAAATTGAAATGTAGAGACATGTAAATGTAGCGACCAGTATCTCCAGAGGATAGGCGAGATTCTGCCGATGTTCTCTGAGGCTTGCAGACATTAAGACTGTGCCTCCCTGTGCTCGGTAGTATGGAGCTGAAGGCAAGTTCGTGGCGTGCTGCCGGCCTGGTCAAAAGCATGAGCGCTCGTTTTTTTCGCGCACGCTGTGAATTCCCATTCGAGAGTTTCCGAGAATTAGGGGTACCTTATTTTGGGGTCCTTATAATA